AATAGGCTGCTAATCTAAAAGTTGGTGTTTCAAACCCAGAGAAGCAGCTATACCAAGAAAGCAAACTGTTTTCAGGAAGACTACAGCCAAGAAAACTCTTTAAGGTAGTTTTGCTCTGTGTGGCATGGAGTCACTGGGTCAATTTGAGGGCTAACAACAAAGCAACAAGCATGTATTTTGGCAAGTAACTTTAATTAGAGAGTGATAGAAACGCGGTAAGACTGCACTCTATAATGGCAGAAAACTTGGGAGACTTGCAAACCATGGCAGTCTGTTGAGTTCTGATTCAGGGTTTCATTTTATCTGCTTAGTAATTTGTTATCATAGTTAATATTCTGATCATTTATAGAATTAGTAGCATTACATTATGAACGTATTTGAAATTTATAGCTTTTGTAATTCTTATTCCTAGAAAAAATCAATGAATTCAGGGTAAAGTTTTAGATGAAAAGAAGAGCATAGAATATGTTTTGGGGTCCTTTATTTTTATTTTATTCTTTAATTTATAGTATTGATTTATATCTATTTGTAAACAATGAGTCTTACTCTCTAGGAAGATGACCACCAGAGGTAGGTAGTTACAGAGGTCTGCCCTCAGGTCTCTGTGCCTCCATTCGCTTCCCTGGGTCTCTGGACTTTCTTTCTTTTTAAACAATTTATTGGCACATCATTTACATATTAAACAATTCAATAGTTAAATCTTATAAAGAGTTGTACAGTCATTACCACAATCAATTTTAGAACATTTTCTTCTTCTCAGTGGGTTGTTTTCTTAAGTAGATGCAACTAACTTGTAACAGTTAAGTTAAAAGTAAAGCCAGACTCAGGTATTACATTTTTTGTGTGTATTATAAATGTAAATCTCATGTCAGAAAACCAATAGAAGAATAAAACTATGATATTTGATAATTCTTTATCAGTTTGTCACTCAAGCCGTATCAGAAGGTTGGTTTGAATTGGTTGGCGTTGGTACATAAACATGGACTTAATGGCATTTTGGCTGATGAAATGGTGAGTAGTACTCTTTCTGTGATTTGATATTTCATTAAAAGATATTTCAGATTTAGCATCCTTGCTCTTATAAAACAAAAAAAATTTTGCCATCAAATTTAATGTTCTCTCTTAAGTATAGTTACAGTTACTCTTTTCTATTGCCTGTCTTTTAGCATCTTATGGCATGCTGATTATCAAATTAGTAAGTATATGTGTTTGAAATATAGACAGAATATAAAACTA